CCTCGCTCAGCCAGTGAGCGGGAACCGGTCTGTATGTGGGATCCGAACCCTCGGCGGGAGCGCCACTGCGCTTCCCAAGCGGCGCACTGTAGCAGTGCGCCACCAGGCCGGCCCTCAGCTGAAAAACATTTAACGGCCTCTTTTTCTCCCTCAGTCCATCGTATGAGGAAACGGAGCCTCCCTTTTCCCCTCAGGCTAGTGAATTCCAGCATCCCAGGAGCATGTTATGGAAGCTGCCAGGCAGCAGGGGCTCCTGGGAGTAACACTTGGAGGGTCCCACTCTGCAATCAGCCTAGACAGAGTAACAGAGCCAAGCGACCATTTTTCAAGTCCTCCTACCAAATTGTCTCACATTACCCTCACAAGCTGCCCCAAACTACCCAGCCAGGATGTGGGAGAACTGGAATCCCACCCAGGTCTCGTCTGCCTCCAGAGCCCCTAGCGCTGGTGAAATACTCAAGTGCAAGAGTGGGGTTAGCTTAGGTGGGGAGAGCTATAGAGGCAGGTATGTGGGAAGCAGGGAGACCACCTCGACCACCATTTCTCTGTAGAGCAGTAAACACCTCCCAAGGGGCCCCAGACTTCCCAGGGCCAGAACTACTTCTTTTAAAACTAAGAAGGCAACAGAGGATGCTGTTTGGCTGCCTGGATTCAAAGCCTGGGCCCTCGTTCTTGTAGAACTCTGGGCAAGTCACCTCACAGGGTCATTATGAGGATTAAATAAGTTAATACAAGGGGTCTTCAAAAAGTTCATGGGACTGGCTGGTTAGCTCAGTTGGTTGGAGCGTGGTGTTGATAACGCCAAGGTCCTGTGTTCTATTCCCGGATTGGCCAGGCACCAAAAAAAAAAAAAAAAAAGTGGCTACAGAAAGTTCATAGAAAGACTTGTGTTGTTAATTCCATTTTTCCACGAGCTTTTTGAAGTAGCCCTGTACATAGAAAAGCACTCATAAGAGTACCTGACACCTAGTAAGTGCTCCCCAAAGCTAACCATACTTATTATCACCTACAGAGAATAAGCATGGAACAAACTGTTAATAGGTTTACCTTTGGGGAGGGGAATAGGCATACAGAGAGGAAAACTTACTTTTATCTCTGTCCTGTTTGATTACTTATTAATTTATTCATTTTAATAATATATGTATATTACTTTCATAATTAACCCCCCCCAAGTTTAAAATTAAAATATCAAACACAGAAAAAGAATCCTGTGAAAGGTTTTAACATTTCTTTTTTTTCTTTTTTTTTTTCATGACCGGCAACGGATGGCAACCCTCAGTGTCGCGCCCGTACCGGCCCGGGACCGGCAACGGGATTGCAACCCTCGGTGTTGCTCCCCGCACCTCGCTCAGCCAGTGAGCGGGAACTGGTCTGTATGTGGGATCCGAACCGTAGGTGGGAGCGCCGCTGCGCTTCCCAAGCAGCGCACTATAGCAGTGCGCCACCGGGCCGGCCCAAGTTTTAACATTTCTTGACATTTTATGTTCCTCAAAGTAGATAAAGAAGGGTTTTTCTACTATGAGCCAGGAGTTGCCAATAACTGATTCATTCATTTACTTTACAAATATTAATGGAGTGCCAGGCACTGTTCCAGCTGCTGGGGATTTAGCAGGGAACAAAATAGACAATCTCTGCCCTCCTGGAGTTTCCATTCTTCCTGATCTTAATTAATCCTCTCTGCAGTCCTCTGGGATGAACATTTTACAAACAGGCAGACTAAGGTGGCCCAGTGAGGGCAAGTCACATGCCCAGTCTCCCACAGTTGGGAGTAGGGCTACAATATTCAGCGCCTGGGCTGTTTCTCCCACTGCCTGAGAGGACAGATCTGTGGATGACATGTTTGGGGCTGGTGTACCCAAGAGGAGAGAAGCAAGATGAATTAGGAGGCCTGCACATCCAGACTCAAAGCTTCCCTCTACATTATCATTGGCACCTGTCGTGGGGGAGTGGTGATGGATGCAGGCAAGAGTGGAGACTCTGACCATGGAGTCCAGCATGAGTCAGGCCCAGGCGCCTCCGACTCGCACTCAGACCTGCGTTCTGCCTAGAGGAGAAGCACACCTACAAATCCCCTAGTTGCTGGGCCTCAGCTCTAGTGTACACTCTCCCAAATTCACTAGCCAGGGCCTGACTTGAAGAGCAAAGCTGGGTCCCCTCAGTTCCCTAATTCACTCCTTCCACCTCCAAGACAAGGACTTGAGATCCCTAAGTTGGGTGGCGGTAGGCACAGTGTCCCAAGATACTCTGATCCTCCCCAGGGAACCCAAATATCCCCACCCTCATTGATGCCAGCCCTGTCAGAGGAGATGGTCTGCCTGTCCCCACCCCTACTGCTCTGGTGGAACTGATGACTTATGGAAGGCCCATGGTTACAGCGGCCAGACTAAAGCATGGAGGGTGGTCCAGCACCTGGATAGGTCAGGCTGGCCCAGGACCTGGCAGCTCCTTGTGACCCTCTCCAGGGAGGTGGCTCTCCATTCCCAGACCTGCCCAGTCAGGAAGGTGAAGGGAGGCAGAAACAGCACAAAGGAGGGTTGAACGGTTCTTGCAGTCTAAGATCCCAACACACAGAGATGAACATGGACCAGAAATGGTCAGGGACCTAGAGACACACCAAAGAGAAACCCAGAGAGATATACACAGGAGCAGAGACTTTGTGAGAAACACTCACAGAGGGGCGGAGACCAGAGGCAAAGACCCACGCATGCAAACGATCTAGCGGGAAACACAGACAGCAGGGACCTCTAAGGATCCCCAGGCCAGCCTCGGACACGCCCCCAGCCACAGAGGGCCACAGTCCCACAGCGCATCTTCCAACAGGATGCCACTCATACAGAGCGGGTCAGGCGCGTGGGGCCCAAGGCGCCGGGCTGGCCGGGGACTAGCGCGCAGGACGCACAGGACCCGGGGAGCGCCGGGCACAGCAGCGAGAAGCGCACACAAAGAGACAGCCCGGCCAGCAGGTGCAGGCTCCGCCCGTCCGCTCCGTGACTCCAGACCACCCCCAACCCGGGCACTCGCCCCAGACACACACAGAGAGACACACGACCCCACCCGCACGCCGCGGGACCCCGCCCCGCCGCGCCCACCCTGCCTCGACCGCCCGGGCGCGCGGCTCACCAGCTGCAGGCAGCAGAAGGCGACGAGCGTGCAGCGCCCGCTGCACTTGCCCATGGTTCCGGGGCCGCTCGGGCCGCCCGCCGCGGCGCCCCCTTTCGCTCGGCGGCCGCTGCACGCCAACATATTTGAAAAT